TTGCTTGCCTTGGGGGCCGAATTCTGGCACGTAGCAGGGGAGATGAAGACCTGCCAAAGGGGACAGGCAGGCACAGAACGGGGCACAGTAGCAGGAGCATGCTGGGCTCGTCAGAGACCCTGTACTTATCAGGTGTCCCCCCCATGGTGTATCACAGGGGACACACAAGGAGAAGATACCTAAAGCTGCCACATTTTCCACCTCCAACCCCCCCAACCTCTCCCTGCAGCAGGGAAGAGGCAGCAGCCCGTGCTGGTGCCCGAGGCAGGCTGCAGCCGCCCAGCCGGACCCACTGCCAGCGCAGGGCATGGCCGCACCTGCAAGCCTGCAACCAAACTGCACCGCTCCCTCGGCACGAATCTCCAGGTGCACTTTCAGCTTTGAAACTCAAAAGATTTCTCTAACCTGCAAGATGCAAAAAGTGAACCACCATTTGGACAGGAGATGTTGGCCCCAGATATAACATGAGTAAGATACATAACTGGTGCCACCATGACCAGCAAAGGACAGGCCTGACTTATCCACCCTCGAAATGATGATAAAGAAAACAGCAGCTGCCCACGCTGCGATTTCTCATGGATACCTCACCAGGAACCCTGCCCAAAGCAGAGCCCCTGCATGGGCACAGCTGCAGGAGGCAGCTTTATAAGTGTCATGGGTGGTTCTCCATGCATCCATTCGCATGCTGCAATACATCATTAAAGAGCTGAAAACCTCATTTATTTGCAAATGTGACATTCATAGCGATGTATTCCTGCCCAAAGGGTTAAAGGCATTCACTGCGGTATTCCTCCGTGCCAGACAGGAGAGACTAAGCCAGGATTTTTACTTAGCACTACCTCCCAAACCAAAGGCCTAGAGGCATTAATTGAGCAAGACAGAGAGAACTCTACCTCCTGGAGATCAAAAAGACATGCGATTTCCCCAAAAGAGAAATTTCCTTCAAGGTCTCTCAATCCGGGCCCATCCCCGAGCTGGAGAAGCCAACCAGAGCAGAGCAAAGCCAACCGTGCCATCATGCAGTGGGGAACAGAGGAGCCCTCCCGGGACGCAGAGCCCAGCTAACGCAGTTCAGAGCGTCCCGCTATCTCTTCTCACAGGACGCCCATGCTCCAGGAACAGCACAGGCAAGCGAGGATTTGAAGGGGAAAAATACAGAGCATGTGCAAAAGCATCAGAGCGTGCCTAAGCCAGCTCTTCTCACTGCTTGGAGGAGCCCTGCCACGCCGAACCCCATCCCCTCATTCACAGAGAGAAGCAAGGCAAATATTTAGCCATCCAGCTAAAGAGAATGACTTTCCTGAATGGATAAAAAGGTTGGCTTGCCGGAGATGTTTATTTTTAAATAAATACTCTCTCTTTAGTCTCTTCCCTTCTTCAGAGCAGAAATAGCATCGCTCCGAGCTGCCCTAACATGCACATAAACACGCAAGGATTTCATTTCAGCTAAATGAGAAGTAGAGTGTATTTTTGCAGGAGTCCTACACCAAGCCTTTGAATAAATCTGAGTGTTTTTCTTGCTGCTAGTGCACCTTTGTCATTCCATTTCATGCAAGTTTTCAGGCTGCTGTCTGCGACGCGACACGGATGGTTTCTGGAGGTGTAAGGGAAAGACCCACAAGGCTGGCAGATTTGCTGGAGGAACAAGGTATGACACAAGCTCAGCTGTACAATTCTGGTTGCTCCCTGGACCTCCGGAAGGGTTTCCTTCAGCAAAAAGGGCAAATTTTTTCAAAGCAGATTTTGGGATAATCATAAAAAAACACCCATTCCCCTCCAAAACTGAAGCGACATAAAGGGCAAAGGGCAAATTTTTTCAAAGCAGATTTTGGGATAATCATAAAAAAACACCCATTCCCCTCCAAAACTGAAGCAACGCTCTAGCTACTACTAAAGGAACATGACATAGAGCTAATTTGTAAATGATCGTTTGTTTGGTTGCATTAATTGAGGCTGGGAGCAGCTTTCCTGCAGCCTTGCCCCGCTAGCTCCCACCCCCTTGGGCATTACTAGAATAACCCCAACAACTGGCTGGATTAGCAAAGTGTCTTTCCATCCCTAAATTATTCTTACCATGTATTAAAAATACAATAAATAACCCCACTTTTACAGTCTTAGAGCTCTTTGAGCACCACCCCAGTATTGCTTAGACCTCAGAAGAGCCACGGGGAGAAGGATTACCGGTGCTGCCTTTTCTCCCAGGGGTAGGGCGACTTCCAGAGACATGTCCTTGTCCTGAGGTCACCCCTCTGCACAGGCTAGGGGCTCACTCGGCATCGCAGCCGTCCTCCCCGCTGCCGGCACCCTGTCCCTGCTGCAGCAGAGCTCCACCACAGCCAGCCCCGGGGACACCAGCTGGAGAGCGCCCATTTTTCCGCAAACCAGAGGACAGTTTGCTCCTACCATTTCCCCGGGGCCGCTCAGCTCAGCCCCTGGTGTGCAGCAGGACCTGGTGGTACCCCAGCGCTTTGTCCCCAGCACAGAACAGTGTGCCCCAGGAGCAGGCCAGCCGCTCGCATCCACTCCCCACGCAGAGACCATTCCCACCTGGCCAGTCCCTCCTCTCGCATTTGCAGAGCTCCCCCCTGCGCTCTCAGCCTTGCCAAGTCCCCATCTCCACTTCCACTCCCTTTCACCGGGTGCTTGAACCTTCCTTACAAGGCAGCGGGGTCCGAGCACACGCTCAAGTGTGCCAACCCGCGGGATGTATCGCGGCGTGCAGCCGAAGCAGAACCACAGGCCCTCGGAGGATGCTGAGCGCACAGTTGGTGCAGGCAGACGCACAAATGCAGGCAGGATTTACCATCTGGATGCGAGCGATGCAGAGCACAGGCCCAGAGCAGTAACCTTTACAGGATATAATCCCTTTGCCTGCTTTAAAAATTAAAGGTCTCCTTAATAAGATACGTTCGCTGCAATACTATTTCCCAATTTGCCACTATTTACAGGCGTGACGTGCAGTGGAGCCCAGGCTGGCGACCGCTTCTGGGCATCCCACTGAGGTGGCCGAAGACGAGCGAGGGGAGGTACAGGCCCAGAGCAGTAACCTTTACAGGATATAATCCCTTTGCCTGCTTTAAAAATTAAAGGTCTCCTTAATAAGATACGTTCGCTGCAATACTATTTCCCAATTTGCCACTATTTACAGGCGTGACGTGCAGTGGAGCCCAGGCTGGCGACCGCTTCTGGGCATCCCACTGAGGTGGCTGAAGACGAGCGAGGGGAGGCGGCAGGCTGGGGATGGGGAGCAGAAGGCACCGGCAGCAAAGCCCAGTTAGAAAAATGTTGGGAACCACCAAACTAGATTGCAATAAACAGAACGGGAACACCAGTATACCAGTCGCTACCAACAATCCTTGTACACGTTATCCCCTCGCACAAAAAATTAGGGGACAAAGTCCCAAGCCCTCAGGATTAACCTAAAAAAAAGACAGTAAGATGATTATGTAGGAACCAAATTTAATCGTGTCCTTTATTTAAGCACTATAAAATAAGAATCCAATCCCATTGGCTTCCCAGGGGCATGTTCAGACCCCGTAAAGCGCAAGGGAAAATATTGACATATATTTTGATGGACTGATATCACTGGTTTTTACTCTCGGGGTGCAAGAGTGAAATTCCCGATTATACACACAGTCCGTACAGTCAACAGCCACTGAAATAGCTGCATTTGCCCTTTCAAGTGCAATCTCTCACCTGTTGTCAAACTGTAGAGACGAAGCTTCTAATCCCAAGTTTAGAAGCAATCTATGGATAAAATAGCAGCATCAGCACGTGCATAAAAATTACAGTCTTAAAATAAAATTAAAGCCTTAAAAACCCAAAAGATCAAGTTTTGATCTCATTTGTGTTCTGTAGCTTTCCTTAGTCTAAAAACCCTCCACCAACATTTTCCATCCCAGGGAGCTCTCCCAGTTTGGGTCATTTATCAGGAAATTAGAGTTTAAAAGCATCAGGTACATAATTTTAAAGGAGCCAAGCGATGAGCGAGGGAAAGGAAGTCACCCTTACATAAAATAAACCCCAAACCCGCCACTTCTTTTCAGCTTTGAGAACAACGTCTGTGCGCGCAGGACGGGGTGCAGCTGATGAGAGTGCAATCCCAGCTCTTTGGGAAGAGCACGCTTGGTTAGCTGATGTCCTATGTGCACTAAGCCTTTCCATGTAACAGCATATCCCAATGCTCCGGATCTCTACGACCTTCAAAGGCTCATCGCGCTTCACAGGGAATATCGTGTAGTTCTTCTATTTTACAACACTGCCCTGACTAAAGCCATCAATGCTGGCAGGATTTACACTGTGCAAAACTGAGCGATAAGAAGGAAAAAAAGAGAAAGGCAGGCATAGAGAGTGACAGTGCTCACTCCAAAAGGAAGATCTCATCCTCATTTAACCGATATCCATAGAAATTTTGCTGTTAACTCCAACAGGAGCAGGACTGTGTCCTGGTATACAGAAGCGCTTTACCTGTGCATTAAATAAAACAGTTGCCCTCTGATATAAGACCTGGCTCCAATGTCTTTTTTTTTTTTCCCCCCCGATGCTTGAAATAGAGAATGCAAAAAAGCAAGAAAAAAGTCTCCGGGGCAAACAACCCATGAGACAACGTTTGGTTTGCTGCGTTACAAATAAAACCACATTCATCGGCCAAGACACCCAACTACAAAGCCCACACGTGAAGCACAAGTGGAGAGCAAGGCACACACGGAGGAACGCACGGACACCTCGCACGAGGAATGCAGCCGCCCACGAGGCCGAGCCAGCCCTCTGCCAGCTGCGCTGCCCGGGGACTCGCTCTTCTCCTTATTGCTGCTCTGTTCCTCCTTTCTGATTTTCTGGGTTGGTCCATTTTGTGGGGGTTTTTTTTTTGTGGTGGGTTTTTTTTTTTTTGCTTTGCAGGCCCCGGACTTGGCGATGAGGGCAGATGTGTGCTAGACAACACCACGATGGGTACGACAGCAGCAGCATGTGAGTGACCAGCCTGCAACAGCCAGGCAGCTTCAGGACGTAGCTTCATCTTCACACACATTGGGCAGCTCTGGGTCCCTGCCTCCTTCTCTGCTCCCTTGTTTTCTGCATGAATGGCAAGGAAATAAAGAGATGACAGGCATGTAGCAATGCAAGAAATAAAGCAGGGGGTGTTTTTTCCAAGAGGCAACCCAAGTCAACAACATCAATATTAAGAGGGAATAACAAAGAACCAGCCTGTTGTGCTGATACCTCATAAACAGCTCAGCAATATCCCAGCTCGATGCACTGCCATGCAACTTGTGCCTATACACTTGCTTGGTCTCTGCGGGCCAAAGACTAAGCTTTGCACTTCCCTGACTGCCCTTCTCCCAGCTGCAGCATCACGAGGAGGTATCTGGTTCTTGGAGAAAGTCTTGCAGACCAGCAGCAATGTTTCTGAGTTATCTAGTTTGTATTTGGGGAGTTCTGGTTTGCTTTTCTTTTAAAAAAAAAAAAACCAAAACAAAACAAACAGATTAAAGATCAGAGTGATGGCTTGATACCATAACTGCTTCTGCAAAGTTCCACTGTAAAAGGCAATAAAAACTGAATGCTTCTACCAGAACCCAGTTTTCCTTATGCAACAGCTGTTTGATTTCAGTTTCTGTGAGTTTGGTCCCCAAAATCACTCAGCGCATGAGAGCAGCAGTCCCTAAAACACAGCCAACGTAACTTACTTACATCGTACGTACACCACAACAGCTTCAAGCCTGTTTCCCCGCTCTTAATTTTCAGTGTCTTCCTATGTAGGAGGCTTGAGCTTTGCTGTGGTGGGATGGGACAGAGGTGGGACAGGACACCTTACCTCTGCCAGCAGGGAAGCAGGCTCAGAGCTGCTTAGGGCATCACTCTGAAGCATGAACAGAGACATTTAGGCTGATGGAGCATTTTGCTGGCTCAGGCTGGGGGCTTTTATGGGCTCTAAGCCAAGCCAGGGAGTCTGGCAAAACCTCAGCCATGCTGGCAGCCACATCAACCACAGGCCCAGTAGCACTGCTGGATGCTGTGTGGTGGGGTACACACTGCCACAGCTTCCCTGGGATGAGCCCATGGGCAGCCCAAGCCCTGCTGCCGGCTGATTTCACTCCAGCGCAGGCAGCATGCCTGTGCCACTGGCTCTGCTGGGGCAAAGCCAGCTCCAGCACCCCAGGGCATCCTTGAGGAGTAACACCTCCACCCAGCCCACCCATCCACAAGACAGCCCGTGACTAAAGTTTGACCAAAGCTGTCACTGCTCTAGCCTGAATAGAGAAAACGCGACACCTCCAGGTGCCATCCACATCACCCCAGAGCAGAGACCTATGGCAGGCCTATTCAGGAAGATGTGAAGATATCCACAGCGTAAAGGAGATGATGCTACCCCCAAGCAGCCGTGTGTCCCAGGGTGTCCAGCCTCGCTCATGCCAGCCTGGCCACAGGAGAATCAATCTGTGTGGACAAGCCAACTCAGCAGTGGAGAGTCAGTGCTGCTCCACGTGCCTGGAGCAGCGTTTGGGAAGTGTGGGTTTGAGGCTCCGGGGTTACTGTCTGGCTGGGAATGACACTGACAGTATGCATAGGGCTGTGCCAATTTTCAAAGAAACCAGAAACGATCGAAATCATGTTCCCTTCTTCCTCTGCTCCAGCAAAACCCTGCGATAAATCTGACCTTGAACCCATTTCCCTGGGGGGGGGAGGCTGAAGAACAGCCCCGTCTTCAGTGCCTGTCATCACCCTCTGTAAATGATTTATCACCCCGATCAGGAGCAGAGGCTCCTTTCTCCGGCACAGCACAGGCAGCTCCGCACAGCACAGCTCCCTGTCCGCAGCTGCCTGGTGCGTCCTGCCGAGCCTGCTCCGTGCCCGGGGTGCGTTCAACGCTCCCCTGCTGCCCCGAGCAGCTTCTGCCTCTCTGAATGCCTTGCGCCAGCACAGGAGGGGTGCAACAAAAAAAACCCAGGTTGCCCTGACAGCCGTGCACAGTGGTAAATATCAGCTAAACTCGGGTTGCACGTATGGCAGCCGAGATCAAGGTGCCAGCGCCTGCAGTCTGCACGGGAGCCAGGGCTCATGCTGTAAGGCCTGAGGCTGAACGTGAATCTCCGTTAAATAACTCTTTTTAAGGAATAAGACTGTATTTCTGCTACATTTTTTAAACCCCAAGCGAGCGAAGCCTGACCTGTGCAATTATCCAAGAGATCACATCGCTGTCAACTGCAGCAGCTGCAGGAAGATCACAGCCACTGAGTATTTACACCATGTTTCGTGCCCAGCAAAGAGCCTCAGAGCACTTCCCTCCGAAACACAGGCAGCACAGGACAGGGATGGAGTGGGACAACCTACAAAGAGCTGAGTCACAGTATATACACACAAACACACTCCTAGTAAGTGCTTAATTCCTCCACTGAGTCCCCATTTAATACCAATCATCTGCCCCCGTCTAGGCTGGTGATGTCCCCTTCCTCTCTGCTAAGGACATGGGCAAACTTTGGGGGCCAACTGACTGTGCCCGGGCTGCGCAGTCACTCCTGAAATACATCTTGAAAGAAAAAGGGCCATTCCTCACGAGGAGGTTCTTTATGAAAAATGTAGCAGCAGGCAGCAGAACCAGCTGTCACCGACAGCGCCACGTCAGTCCCCATCCTCCTCCGCCTGCCTTCTCCTAACTATTTTTGGAGAATCTCTGCAAGTCCTTCCTCACTCAGAGAGGGCGGCATCCTGGCTTGAGCTCATCCGTTCGTCTCGGAGCAGTAAACTAGGCCAGCCAGAGTCTCCAGAGCAGTGGAGCTGCTCCCAAAGGTATTTAGAGGCATGTGGCTGTTTCCTGGTCTCTCACCACAGAACTCCCCAGGCCTGGGTGGAGACTGTGTCCTGCCTAAGCACTAAGATCCCGAGACTTCACCCTGAGATGTTTGTAAGCAGTTTGTCACGGCTTGCATCGAATGTTATTTTGTTATTTAACAGAATTAATTGGACCGACTGCTTCCTAGAAGGGTCTGTGCTACTGGTTGGACAAATGACTGTGTTTTAATGAAGTCCTGGCTGAGGTGGGGTGGGTGGTCACACAGAGCAGGCAATTTTGGCCAGCCCAGAGCCCTCTCAGCATGGCATCAGAGGCAGAAGCGCAGGGGAGCAGTGGAGCAGCTGGAGCAGAGATGGCTCCGGCTCTATTTCTTTTGCATAACCACTAAATATTAAACCTGAGCCCAAATTACAAAGTTCAGCCTTTCCCAAATTCTGTAGCTATTCCCTCCACAAACTGAGGAGCAGTTCCTGCTAAAACCCAACTGGCTTTTTTTACCCCTCCCTCCCCAAAGAAGGTTGAAACAACAAAAAACCACAAATAATAATAATAATAAAAAAGGATACATAAACATTAGTGTCACACACAGAATTACTGCAGTAAATTCCTCCTACAGGAAGAAAGGATGGAGCTGAATGCTCTCACTACCACACAAATCACGCAGACTGAGGACACACATTTCTAGAGCACCCAGGGGTAACACCAACACTGAATTACCTTAAAGATGGATGCAAATATACAGATGTGTTTAAGAGGAATCTGTCCCTGAGAGCAAAATAATGAGACAAAGGAAGAAAGTGATCATGAAGATGATGGCAGCAGGCAAAGGAGCTTGTATTTCTGTACCTAACAGGCCTAGCCAGTGAAATGGAGGATGGAGCATCAGTCACATTTACTTGCAGCTCGAAGGACAGATGAGGACAGGCCCTGATAGCACTGGTACAAACCCACTCCAGCCCCTACTGCTGCCGAAAACTCCAGGTTGCTTCCAACACACTGCTGATGTCCAGCTGTGCTGTCCTGGGTCCATGTAATTTGGCATCTCTGCGGGGGTTTTGTGTCCTATCACGGTCATGGCATCACCACCATGTGCAATGAGGCGTGCAGCAGCTGAGCTCAGCGTGGGCAGAGCCACACAAGCATGGGGCCACTCACCGGAGGGTCAGGCTGATGGTGGGTCTTTGCCAGAGGAAAATCCTGTGCCACAGTGGGTGCCTTGGTCCTTAGGAGGACTACAAGGATACCTACCTACACTGTGAGGCATGGCTCTTCCCGCGAGACACGCAGTTCTCTTCGCAGTGAAAATTGATATGGCTTTTGGTTGGGTTTGACTCTGTTCTGGTAGCACCTATGTGTTACCAACCCAAAATCTTCCTGGGACTGGAGAGACAGACACCGAGCACTAGCAGAGACCAAGGAAGCATCTTTAGTGGCAAATTTAAACCCAACCTGCAGCCGTTCCCTTGTCAAAGACGATGCTGTAAACCTGGCTGCCCTAGGGGGATCTCTGCAGCCTATTTTTGAGCAGCCCTATGGCACCGAGTCCTGGGACTTTCTTAGCACAAAGCCCCCATGAGGCAGGTACCTCTGGGCTGCTTTGGGAGAAGCTGTTTCTGCTTGGAGACCCGGGTCAGCCACTTTTTTTACCTCTCTCTCCTCCCTGGCTTCCTCGTGCCTACCCTACATGGACAGTATGGCCCTAAGGGCAGTGATGGCTCTTTTGCTCTCTTTTTGGGAAGGCTGGAAGCAGGGTAGGCTTTCTAAATACAGACTGATCCCCCATACGGGAGCTGACAACCACATTTCATCAATAGTAATAGCAGCCATAATGGGAAAGTAAATTGGGTCTGTCAAAACACAGCAATTAATTTGATAGGTAGTAGTTGCAATAAATGAGAGTAATAAAATGTGGTGAAGCCAGTGCTGACTCAATTAGGAGAAATCTGGAGCAGGCAGAAGAAATGTAGCAAACACTGCTAACAGAAACCCAGAACTAAGCTGTGAACGCTTGACAGCTGGGTTTAAAAAAATACTCTGCAACTGGAAAAATTAGAAATGATCAGTTGCTTCTGCAGCCACCATTAATGACAGGCTTGAACCTGGCCATGGTCTGCAGGATCTGCAAGGCTTGATGAATCACTGCATCTTCTGGGAGATCCGGTGCCGTAAGGCAGGATCTGGTGCTCCCGGACACCCGGCCCTGGCTACCGCACAGCTGACAGGATAAAGTCACAGCCAGCAGCACTCACACCCGGCTTCTAGGTGTACAGAGGTGCTCTTGTGGGAAAGGCAGCCGTTGCAAAACAAGAATTGCTAAGCAGAGGGATCTTTGTTTTAGTTCCCTTCTATCTGGAGAATGTGCGTGCCATTTTAACAGCTGCCTTTTTAACTTTTCAGTGCTATTAAGCAAAGCAATAAACAACACCCAGGAGAGGATTTGCTTCTTCCAGGTCTAAGGAGTGCTAAAAAAGCCCTCTCTCCTCCCAGTACTAATTTAAGAACTATTTCAAATCACTGGTGTCTTAATGGTGTCCTCTAAAGGAACAAAGGCTGCGGCAAACATGAAAGGCCTCCTGCTATCGCAAAGACTTCTGCACATGCAGTTTCTGCACAAAGCATTTCCAAGAAGAGCCCAGCACATTGCGTATAGGTTATCAGGGAGAAAAGGCTGCGGCAAACATGAAAGGCCTCCTGCTATCGCAAAGACTTCTGCACATGCAGTTTCTGCACAAAGCATTTCCAAGAAGAGCCCAGCACATTGCGTATAGGTTATGCAGGGAGAAATTAAAAAAAAAGATTCAACCACATGATTTAGTTTCCTCCTCTCCAAATCCCAAAGAGTGAGCTTAAAGGACAGATCCATTTTAAGAACCATCAATTAGGCATCAAATACCAGAAAGCAGACTCAGCTGTCAGAGGATTTCCTACCAAATATATACTTAGTATGGGCACAGATGTAAGATGCTTGAAGCAGCAGTGAGTGGGGCTCTGGCAATTTCACATGCAGCCTAATTAAATAAATTGAATGTGAACCTGGAGTTTTCTAATTGCTTTTCTTTTTTCTTATATAGGTACAAAATAACTTGTGTTTCTATAACTAGAAGGAGATGCAATATTACAAAAGCCGATTTATCTTTCTCTAAAGACACTGCCACTGGGGAGGAGAAGCTCTGTGGTGGAGAGCTTGGGAACGTGTGGCTCATTTTTCTCTCAGCTCCTTGTGGGCAACCACAGGGCAGCGTGGCCAGAGAGCAGCGATGGCTGCAGGCGCTACCCTTCTGGCAAGTCCCACTTTTGGGGTCCCCTGTCCAGCTACGGGGGTGGAAATGGTGCCTGACATGCAGGAACCCTGCAGAGCCTTTATACCACAACAATATTATCTGCTCCTGCTAGGTCCTAGAAATTTATAGTAATCCAGACTCACTCAAAACTTATTTTAACTAACACAGTGCTATTCATAACATTTGCACTGATGTTATATTTTATATGTGTATTAAGGGTGGTTTTACTACAGAACAACCAGCTATGAATTAAGAACTGGATGGGCTTAGTGTCTAGCTCTGTTTGCCCCTGTGGAAGTAACACTGTAACCAAGAGATAACTCACTGAACAATGAACATTCCCATTTAGACTCAGCTCACTTAAAATCAATGTCATTAAATTCAACAAACCTATTTAAATTCAAAGCAATTTTCATTAGATTCAACCAGTATAGCATTTTTCAAAGTTTGAAATAATAATCCACATACCTTAAAAAAAAAAACATCCCTGCTGTAGTGTTTAGTACATGACACTCTTGTTGAAGAGACCTAGCCAATGTCTGTCTTTTAAACAGAAAGGTTTCGAGATGGGTTCTCAACGCTCCAGTTGTGCATAAATTAAGGATAAATTAGGGTAAAGTCAATTGTTACTGCCAAAAATTGGCACTAATGGCATGAGATTAAGAAATTAAGTGCAGAAATTAGCGCAGTGGGGAACTGGCACATTCAAAGACCATTCACATTCTTTTTAGACATCTCTAAGCCCTTACACTGCTGGGCAGAGGCCAGCCCAGCATGGCTGCAGCTCCATCCCTGACCTGACATGTTCTTGTAAGCCAAGAGCACTGGACACAGCAGCACAACAGTGGAAATTATACACAGTTTTCAAAAACCTTTTAGTATAGTCCCGTACAAGAGGCCTGAATGCAAACATGGGGCTCTAATGAGTACAGACAGAGAAAGATGCTGGTTTTGTATAAGCTGAGAAGAATTTGACTAGCAACTTTAGAAAGGAGACAAATAGAAGTAAAAATGGAGGCTTACAGCTCGTCTTGAAGGCCTAAAAAGATTTTAAAAAGGATTAGACATTGATAATGTGGCTAATCGGAAACTTCACAGCCACATCAGATCAAATGAACTTTACTTATTCTGAAGAGATAATAAAGCACCTGGCTCTAGGCAAGAACCAGCCACAGCATCAGGGTCAAGAAGTTTTCCCACCAGCTGGTTAGTTAGTGGCATGGGCTTTCAAGCATCTCAAATGAAGGTAGAAGGAAACAGATCCCTTCTGGAAACAGGCTCAAGTACTAGAACAGCAGACCACCTCGAAATATCAATTCAGGCAGAGCTTGAAAAGAAGAAATCCTGCCTTGCTCTGAATTAGCTGTCCTGGACAGTGGGAAGCATACAATACATTTTTCTTCAAGTTTAGTAAAAGTTCTCCCATCTCAGAACAATGCAATGCAGTGACCAGGAATGATAGTGAAGATATGGGCAGGGATGTGTGTCAAATTAGCAATAACTAATTTGGAAGGCAATGAGCCAAGGGAAACAAATGAGGACAAATCCCTTGGGCTAAGCTGGCAAAGGAGCCGTGACTGCCATGCTCTTCAGATATGTCCCCACAGCAGCGCTCAGTTTATGGGGTGTTTAACTGTTAAACTTCTGTCTAATATTAACTGGTCCTGGACTCAAAGGCAAAGCCTTTACTGAAGTCTCCAATACACAGTTGGGCCCTAAAGCATCATCATCCTTAATCAAGTTGAGCCCTTAAATCCCCACACACCTGTGAGAGACTCCTCTATTTGCATTGTCAAAGGTGCAGCGAGACTCTTAGTACACCCTCGTGGGAGTCTGCTAGGCATGGTACTGGGATTTTGGGTGGAAAAGGATCATTCTAGGACAACACAGCTTTGTTGTGAACTGCAGCCTTACAGATTTTGCAGGGTGAGAACACGAAAATAATTGTCCCAGGTCAGGCTAATGGTCCATCTATTACTTACTGGACTGATGGCCTAGAATCCTGGCTCTGAAAGGGATCAGTAACCAACATGAAGGAGAAAGAGTAAGAGCCAAGTAAAGGACAGACAAATCCTTCCCACCCTCCGTCCCCCAAATATCCAAGACTATCGTGTTTAAAAAATTTTGATGAATCTAATAGTAATTAATTTGTCTACGCCCTTTTTAATCCCAATATAGCCATTTATATCCAGCCTCCAAAATATTCCATTGCAATGTGTTCTACCATTTCACAGCTGGGTGTGTGAAAAAAATACTGTATGTTTTCTCAAATGAAAGAGCAATGTCAGTGTTCTCCACTGTCTGTCCATGTGTCTCCATGGTGTCTCCGCCCAGACTTGGGCCCCAGACCACAGACAAACCACATCATCTCATTTCCAGCTTATAGAACATGAAAACTGCACATCTGGTGCCTTTTCTGTTGCCCATAAAAAGGAGAGAAGAATTAAACCCTCCAATACATATCTAGACTAGACTCTAATTAAACTTGTTTTAGTTCACCAATCTCTAATGGATATTTGATCACAGCGTATTATAAACTAACAGGTTAAAAACCAGACCCAAGTTTAGCACCGTACATGTGTTTAGGCCAAACCCATCTTACAGAAAGAACTGCATCTATAAAAAGAGTACTTAGGCTGCTTTACTGCATTGTATTTTAACCCTAGAGGACTTGAGGTGATTTTAGCCTCAGTATTTGATTTAGAAGGGAGTTTTGTCCTTAAATGCTACGGAAAAGATTTGCAAACTGCTTCCTTCATCCTCCCCGCACACCTTTACTCTGCACGTGCAGCAGAGCCAGGTAAAGCTGTATATACGTACATCAGTAAGTTCCCTGGAGCAGACATGGACCTCTCCTCCCGCCTGGTCTGAACCTCGAACGGATTTCCAAAGGAGCGTTTTCTTAGCATGGCCTTCACTAGGATCTTTGAGGAAGGAAAACAGACCAGTGAGAACAGCAGGACTGACACATCACCCCCTTGAAGCTAGTTCAAAGGAGTCTAACAACAGCTTCTTTAATAATTCAACAGACATTTAAGAGAATTACAGCTAGAGCATGAACTAGAGAAACCCACAGAACAGCTATGTGTGTTCCAGGCAGTGTCAAGGCCACTCCCTGGGGCAGTGAGCTCAGACCCCTGGATGCAGACCAGTGCTGGCAAGAGGTGAAGTAGAGGCTGCTGACCGCTGCCTGCCACTCATGGTGGTCCAAGGCCATGAGAAAGAGGCACCAGAGCTCTCCTGGGCCATCCTCCCAGGCAGGCACTGTGCAGAGAGTGCTGCCAGCTCCTGCGGGTTCAAAGGCAAAGGTCCTGCTGTCAAGGGGAAAAGATGGTTTTCACTCCCCCAGCTGGCTGTTGGGGCAAGTGTCTATATTAACATCACACCACAAGAGATTTGAAAACAGGTCCTCGTGCTCAGCACCCCTCTCCCCAGTACAAGGAACCCCCAAAGGCACCTGCATCATAGTAATCGCCTAGAGCAGACCTCCAGCTGGCTACACACAAACTGCCGAGAGAGCCCTGAACACCCACTTGTGGTCACCCAAGGCTGGCAGGCAAGTGCCAGCTATATATTCCACTAGCACATGTCCTCTCCCTGCTTCTCTGGCCAGGTCACCTTCAGGTTTGGAGCCTTCATTTTGAGGATCCAAATGAGGTGTCTTGCAACCTCTAGATTAATGAAGCAAAACACACTTGGGATGCTTCTGGTGTTCCGGGATGTCTGATGCCAGACACCTTGAGGGTGCGACCCTACAGCTCTTATGAGAGCAGCCTGACAGATATAAACAGGACTCAGGCCGTGCAGAGTCAGGCTGCTGCAGTACTCAGACACAGAAAGTTCACACTGGGTTGAAAGGCCAAGTTTCTCATGCCAGGAGCATACGTGTGCCCTCTCCAAACCTCCTTCACCCGTTGAGAGCTTCAGCAAAGTATCATGCTCTTGACCCATGTGGAGGATGTGGTTGTGGTTTATACATACCACAGCTGGCAAACTCGGGATAGTCTTCACCGAGTTCTTCACCTCCTCCTCTGTCACCTCCACCACAGTACAGTGCTCTTCCTCCAGCGGCAGGGGCACCTTGCCGCCCTTGGTTAGCCACGGATGCACCTGCGTGGGGAGGAACACAGAGACAGCTGTAGGTCTCCCTTCTACAGCAGAGCACAATGATGTTGGTGACAAGAGGGAAATGGGGGCACAGGACTGATGATGGGGGTAAGCTGCCTGTCGTCGATGCTCCATCTTCTACTTACACCGATGTGGCTCAGGCAGCTCCCTTGGAAAATCGCTGCGATCTGGTGCCTGGCCAGATGGCATCCCCTAATGCCCAGTGCTGTCGCACGCACTGCCACCGACTGGCATCTTGGAAGAACCTGGCACCCTCTGAATCAAGCTTGAAACACTTTGAAAATCTGAGTTATCCAGAGCCTTTTAATCTTTTTCTCTCATATGCACACACTTCATCTAGGGTTACACATGCTCGCTACCTGGGAGAATCAAGATCATTTACGCATCTGCACAAAAAAGGGTTTAGGTGCTTAAAATGGAGTACTTGGGTCTGAACACTGAGGACTGGTGCTACTGCAATGGCCTCCTGCCTACATAAATAGCAAAATAACACACTTTGCCACCTGGACACCATGTAAACCTCTACACACCCACACAAAGGAGAAAGGAGGCAGTTTCCCACCATCCTTCCCTGTTGCTGCCATGCTGCTATGGAAGGGAGCTGACGGCAGGAGAGGGCGAGGCTCTCTGCTACCCATATCCAGGGCTGGGTGTTTTGCCTGTCAGGGAGAGCATCCTCCAGTGTTGGTGCTAGAAAGGCCTTCCTAACCCTCCAGGACGAGCAGTTGAATTAGGATGGATGCTTACTGCCTACTGCCATTCCAATGAGTTGGATGCAGGTGTCTAGAGTGTTCTGCAAGGCCTTAGTGATGAGCTGCTTTACGGCACTTAAGTTGCGTTTTCCAAAGATCATTAATTGTGCTTACAGTAACTCTTTTCAAAGGCACATCACCACGTCCAGCCTTAAGTGAAACCAGTGCACTAAACCCTACGGTCTACGTGGGGCTTGTGAACATTTCAGCTAGGGAGAGGACTGCCTAGTCATATGTTCAACGTTCCTCATACAAAATTATTTGCTTGATTTATTTTCATGGTGAACAGCAATTCCAAACCCAGTTGGCAGAGCGGTTAAGATATTTGTCCAGCCTAACCCCCTTTTATAATTTTACTGCCTCCTTCCAGCTTTTGCCATGTTTATCTTCAATGTTGACATCAAAGATTTATCAACTATAAATGATCACGTATGAGAAGCAGCATGGAGCTAATGCTTGCCAGCACAAGAATGTTTGCAGCCACATCAGGATTTTATCTTACAAGTAAGGAACATGAAAGAGGAAGAGGAGGGGAGTGTGAAAACAGGGGAAAACAAAATGGAAGGAACCCAGGGAGGAGGAGAAGGAGGCCCGGAACATCCACTTAGAAACATCTGACTATGCAAGAAGCCAAGGCTGGAGCCCCGATGCCACGCAGCCAGCTGTATGCTACTTCAGAGCAAAGAAGCTCCTTGGGATTAGTCTGTGAATGCAAATACGGAGAGAATGTGTCATCTCCTTGTCTGGATTGCATCAGCTGCACACATCGGGCTCTTCTGTACTCTCTGGGTTGGATTCCTCTGGCCAGGGCCTTCAGTGATGGCAATCACTCTACAGCCACCTCTGCCAAGAAGCTGCTTGGCCATCATCTTTCTTGGGAGAACAACAGAAGAAAGCTGCCCTTTTTCTATTGCCTCTCATGGTATGGCTTCCTTGGTTGAGAACATGAGAAAAGCAGTGCTCAAGCAGCCTGGCGCAAGAGACACATGCTCTTTCAGCTTCAAACACAAGTCCTCAAGCACATCAAGCATCTTCAGTGCACGGCCAGGGATAAGATCCAGCACCCTGCTCTGCTCTTCTCCCCAGGGTTCTTACAGGGCTCAGATTTCCACATGAAGTGCCTGCAAGAGCTGCCAAGCGAAATCACTTAATACAGCTCCAAAGCACTTCCCACCATCACCGGCTGTGGCCTCCTGGGCATGGAGGGAAGCAACATCACATTTCTTCTTGGATTTCAACCTTCCTACTGTCAGCTTCGGTGGCAAATGTGCTGGTGTTGGCCCGAGACAAAGCGAAGAAGAGTTCTGTGCCCTGTAGAGGATGCTGATGGATCTCTGTGGAAATCTTGAGAGCCCCCAGCAGGTCCAAGTCCTCGGTGGGGGGTAATAGGAGGACAGAAAGCCCATGCAAAACCAGAACAAAGCCAAGCCTTGTGAAGCATTGTGCTCTACCAGTCCTAGTCACTCCCTGCGTTAATAAGCATCCCCCAAGTAAAGATGATAGAAACAAATGTGCTGCCTTGAGGCCGTTGACCATGCAAGCACCAGAGGAACGCGCTTCCAGCCCCTGTAACACAGGTCCAACACTGACAGCACAGGCTCTGCAGCTAGCAGCCCCCATGACAATGTCGATTCTCCTGGGGATTTGCTGAGGATCAGCCAGCTTTTGAGTAATTTTAATTTAAATAAGTAAACAAGAAAGCTTTTGTCAATATTCACCAACAAGCAGCAGTGACAGAGCTGTTACATGCTGCAAAATGAGCACTCCCCCTTTCCGAGGCAGCGTGCCAGAGAAAGCTCACAAAACAAACACTGGGAACAGCTCTGCCTCATTAGAAGGTACCAAAGGAACAACAAAATCAACTGAGATAAAAGACTATAATATCAACGTCCAATTTACCTTAATTTCAGGGACTGTTATCCTTGTTTCTGGATTTTTATCAAGCATGCGTAGGATCAGTTCCTTGAGCTCTTCACTTATCTGTGCTCTGAGTAAAGAAAATAGCAGTATACAGTTAACAGGGGAATTATAAGTGCTCAAGGCATGCACAGTCCTTACTGCAGTTACTCGGTAGAGAATCTGCTCCGCTCAGAAGGTATTTTCTCTGCAAACCTGGCTTAAGAAAGGAAGGTCTAACTGGCTTGGTTCCTTCTCAAGCATCACGGTCACTGCTACGGGGTTTGGTTTTCCTGTTCGGCCCACTAACACAGCTGCACGCTCTCAAATGCAGCACAAGCAATCAGGTGAATGGATCTAAGGACATTTTTAAAGACAACGCATTATAGGAGAATTTCAGAGGACAGTTTCTGGGACAATAAAGTGTTATTGAGAGCAGAACTGGCGCTGGGCTCTATGATACAAGAAGGGCACAACTTGATTCGCTGAACCTGCACCGTGAGCAATCGTGTGCTGGATGAAACATTCCCATTTGACATTCAAGATCCCAGCTAAGCTTGCAGGTTGTGTTAATTAAATTGCTTCCATGAACGCCAATGGCAGTCAATTTGGTAACTCGGTATTTCCTACCTGTATAGATCAGCCTTGGGGTAACAAAAGGAGGGAATGAACAGGCATGACTAAAAGAGAAATGCATATGCCTGAAGCCAGAAGGCATCCTATTCACAGGGAGCCCTTGGTCCTGCAGTCTGTCTCTCTAGTCCAAAGGCTTCAATGACTTCTGTTGCTAATGATACAGGCGATGTCTTTAAAACGCACTTGATCTCTATGATCAAAGTGCTACTGAAATAAAATGCCAGCATATGACAGAATTGTATTAGGCAGTTGAAAGTCTGTATCACAAATGACTTTCGAGGAGCTGCGTTTCTGCATGGAGATGGGATTTGGCAGCATAAAATATCACTCCCCAGCAGGGTTGGAATTCAGATTGAAAACACTGATGAGGACAAAGTGCTGTGCCCCCCTCCTCTGCACCCTCCCCAAGCAGAGGAGGGAATAAACTATCTTAAACCTAAATGAAGACCATATCACAGTAAGGGATATTTTTGTCTGATGAAAACAGAGCTGCTGTTTAATAATTTATGAATACTTTATGTGGACTTTGGTTATGGGATCTTTAACAAACAGCCACAAGGAAACACTGCTCGTTCAGTGGGAAGGGGCAGAAAGCGGGTTCAGTTTAAAGTCTGAACACTTTCAGAGTTGCATCAAGGGTCTGCAGTACACAGGCAACATGGCCCAGATAAGGGAAATCGCAGGATGAGTCCTCAGAGACTTCCCACTCCCTAGGTTGCACTGCAGGTGACAATTTAGGTGGGAATGAGGAGAACTGTGCTGCTCTTAAGATGAGCTCCAGGCACAGAAGAACTGCTATGGGGAGTGACGGTGCATTTAGCAGGTCAAAATAAACAGACTCCTAAGAGAGGACCACACTGAGGTGCAGGTGAGATTGTGTTTTTAAAATACTTAACATCAGATCCATGCCAAACTGGCAACGGCTTTATTTAAAATACAAGAAATAGAATATACAATAACCTAACGTTTCTGGGCACCAGACTGATTTCTACACAACATAGGATTAATATCATAAGGAAAAGCCCTGTAAACAGGACCACAAAGTTTTAGGTGGGTTATAGCCAGGTAACAGACCGCATCACCCTGTCTGTTTTTCCTTCTGCCCATTCTGCCATGGTGCATGCTGTACCCAATCGCATTTTTCATCTGAAAAGCCTGCTCTATCTGGAATTTCTCAGAGTCATAGTCCTGTAATGGCTCTCAGGAAAATGCCAAGCATGACAGAGTTCAGCACCCATTTGGGAGGGCTGCCAGCACCATAGATCATTTTACAGGGTGCCCGCAGGTCAGAAAACATTGTCCTGGACTTCACCTCTTCACCAGGAGGGACTATGCAGAGCTTCTGGCTCTCTTAATACACGTCTGGACAGAAACTTCTCCAGCTTGTTTTTTAGTCATGCCAGGATCATCAGGGTGTGAGCTAACCCCATTTATCTCGTGTCATGCCAAGGACTCACTGACATGAATGAGAACTCCAGAATGATAAATATTTATCCCAGCATCTCTAAGGGAAGGGACGGGACAATGACGCCGGTACAGTCAGCTCTGTCTCTGTCCTAAAGGTTGTCAGGAAACAGGCAATGAGTTTCCATGGACTGTCCGCAAACAGAAATGTGTCTTTTGTAGCCATGGTGAAATAAATTGAAACCAAAATATTCCTAACTGTAGCGAGGTGCTAATTCTGTGGGAGGTCAGGGTGGATCCAGTCCAGTGAATTCCAGCTTTATGTGCGTCTCTGTTACTGCCTTATCTAACAAATAGATGCAGTTTAGACAGCTGTCAACACCCAGTAAGTCTCTGCTCCTCCAACAACCTAATGAGGGGTGCAGCTTTTTTTAGACTGGGAGAGCAGGTCACCGAGAAATCCAAATAAATCATGCAGCCGAATTATCACTGAAGGAAGTGTCTGAATGAAGAAAAGGTTCTTAGCACAACCCAGTTAGCCCATTAAATGTTAATAACTTACTGCAGAGACAGATGGGAACAGTCACTTGTAAGCTGACTGCTAACCCAAATATGTGATGGCTGAGAGAGGATGGGCATTTTGCCAGGACCCAAGCAAGCAGATAGACCATGCCAGGGAAACAAACTTTTTTTTTTGCTGTAGTGCTGTCAAGACAAAGTCCTGCCCTGACCGCAAAGCAACCAGTTGGAACATGGGAAAGTAGCATGAGCACCCTTCCCGCTCTTAATGCCTGAAGCCTGGTTAGCTGTAAAACCTCACCAACAGCACAGGGCTGGCTTGCCAGAGTTGCTCCATACCCACAACTGGGGCTTGTGTTTGCCATCAAACAAGCAGCCTGACCTTGTGGCCGCAGGTTCTTGGGAGGTGTGGTCCACACAGTCCTGCGTGTGGGCTCCATCAGCCTGAGCGGAGATGGCTCTGTCCGAGCTATCTGCAGTGGCTGTGCTTCATAGTCAATGGAGAGGTAATTAATACAGCCCATGAAGCCTGGGGCATGAGTCATCCCATCTAAAGCAGATGTCTAAAATAGGACAGCCTGAGTACCCATTGCTTTCTGCAGACTCAGAAGGAAGCCTGGGACTGCCAAGGCAAAGGTTTGGCCCTTCACTGTAGGTGTCTAAAAATTCAGTGAGCATCTCACAAATAATTCATGTAATAGATGGTGGATACATGCATATGTCACAGGCTGCCTGACAACATTCTTCCCTTCCTCTCTAATACCAGATGTGCCTTTCATTAGAGTTTTAATTTCTTCATGCATGTTTTAAATCAAGTCATTTTATCTCTTAAGTTTTTATTAGAATGAACGATTGGGTCAAGAAGGTCAAAAATTCTTTGCCTGACTACTGTGCTGATTTGGGAAGGCAGATAAGGAGTCCAGCTTTGGCTACTTCATCTGACAGCAACCAGGAGAAACAAATTAATCACCAACAGAAAGTCACCAGAGGCCTGAAGATGGAGGAAATACCAAGGAGTGGCCAACACATGAAGGGAGAGGCATGGTGGCTCGGTGGCAGAGACTGAGAACCCATTGAGTGTGATCATCTCCTGCCAGGCTCATCTGACAAGACCACAAACACTCACCGCTCAGTGCCTCGACGCTGAACTTCCCACTGCTCAAATGGCACGCAAGTGGCCTTGGCTTGAACCCCCTCACTGCTGAGTGTGCTGTTGTGGGTTAGAGGACGCACTGTGACTGTGCAGCCGGCGATCCCACCTAACACAGCCCAGTAGTCTCCACCACGCAGCTCTGACGGTGGCCAACACAGGTTTCCTTCCCTAACCAAAGCAGGGGCAGGGGGAGGGGCAGCCTCTCAATATCAAGTGGATAAATTAATTTGTTTTTTTCAAAACTAGCCCCAGTCTGCCAGCACACAAGACAAACTCGTATTTTCCTGGAGTGTGTTGGAGGAGGCAGAGGAGTGGGGATGCACCAAGCTGTGGTTGTTTATCTCGGGACAAGCCTCCTTCCATCAGACACTTTACCCAGCTCCAAGGTAAGTTCGCAGAAGCGGCATGTGTTTAGTTAGACTGAGACTGAGGTCTATAAGCCACATTGCTTTTGAAAACTAATACATTGAATCATTCTGGTGGCTACCACATGGGAGAAACACAAAACCCCAACCAAACCATGCTTCGAGCATCTCCAGGGTCAAGTAACTGGGGCAGTACTTACCAGACCCATACTGAAACCCCTCTGCTTCCAAAGATTTCAAGAGCCGTTTCCTTTAGTCCTTATCTGCACGTGGACACAGGAGCAGCAGAGGCAGCTGTAATGCCTCAACAACAACATCAGCACAAAACCTACGTGAAGGACCCAGGAGAATGCAAAGCACCTCACCCACCCTTGTCTGTCCCTCCATGGTGACCTATCGGCATTTATGCTGCACAGTGAATAATGCTGAAGACCGAACTTTATTTTAAAGTAGCTGAGTAAAGTTTACTTACTCTTCTGGGAACTCTACAGGCTTGTTCTTGATCCTGTTATGAAGACCCAGAATATATTCATCTATAAAAGGGCACTGTAAAACAAACAAAAAAGATTTTCCAGTTGTCAGAGATCTAGGCACTGCTTAGGCATTTGTCATTCATGTAACAGAAGTATACTCTCTCTGCACACTCTTTCCATTTTACACGGAGATGGAAATAAATAAGATCTCCCCACACACAATAAATTGATTTATTCCTTATTAAATAATAAATGCAGAAGAACAGCAGAGGGACATAAGGAATACAGAACTGGATTGGGATACCCCCCTCTATCCAGCCTACCAGGTGACCATGAACTACTCATTTTCCTTTTCTCTGCTCCACTTTTTCCACCTGCAAAATGGATGTACTGTTATCGCCTGACTTGCATCACTGCTTTGAGGTCTCTCTGTAACAAGCAACATTTGGAGCTAGGTATTACTATTAAAACACCTGGTTTTCCATTGTAAAGTTCAGATATATGGATTCAAAGCATATTTTTTCTCCATCACAACTTTTTACACTGGATTAATTTAGACCTAGATTCTAGCTCTTCCTACCTAGCAGGACAGGCAGGACTGACAGGACATGAACTAAGCCACAGTGAATGCTGTGGAAGATGCAGGAGCAGCATATTCACAGGCCCTATGAACATCTGCATCAAAACTGAAGGAGCAGGTACACTTGTTTTAGTGGGCTGTGGGCTGCTGGTGGGCCCTGTCCCAGCCTGCCTGGCCAGATTAAATTATGAAATATAAAATAGGTACAATATGTACAATATTTACTGTACAAGGTCACGTGGAACAGACGAATGTCTGTCTGTATCTTTATATTCCCTCTTTCTTTCCCTCAGTGCTTGCCACATAGGAAAGCAATATCACCATGAGGTTATACCAGAATATAAAATCAAGGTTATACCCCATCACTTGAGGATTTGGCCCCAAGTAAGACATCATTATACACACAGGTCAGAGAATATTTTCCATCCTGACTTAACTCAGCGATATCACACCAGCAATGGAGATATTTCTGCCTCTGCCATCTCCCCCAGCCACTTCTTACCCCTGAGCTGGATGCCTTATGCCTGCGTGGTGGGATCTGCAATGGTCCGTGCTTGGACAGGAGGTTCAGGTAACATACCTGCACACACAGACTGCATGTACCTGCTGTACTGCTCGCCCTGGGAGACCATGGGTGGGACGAGGGGCTTCTGGCCACAGGAGAAGGAAATGCCATGACAGGATATGGAGTTTGCAGAAGGCAGCTCTGAAGAGCTGGCTCTGCCAAAGTGGACTCTATCTGGCCCAGCTCAGCTCTGGCAGACAGAGCTTTCTGTAATCTGGATCGCTAAAGTGCTGCAGCAGCTCGGGATCAAACTTATGCCTCTCTCCATGCTCTGTCTAGCTTGTTTCTAAATACAGGCAATATGGATAACCCCCCGACAAACCATTGTTGGTGCTACTGATGCTGCTCTGGGTTTGTAGCACGAACAACTGCTCTGAGTACAGAGGCCAAGTCTAGAAACCACGCTTTCCACAGATCACAACATCAGTCCCTTCTCATCCGCAGGGTGATTTAGGAAAAGGGGAGCTTGCAGAAGGTAGTTCTTTGTTTCTGGTATTTGCCTTTATTTGGAAAGGAATGAGTTAAAAGCCAGGCAGGTAGACACTCCCATGCAGGGCTCCAGCATCTGAAAGCCAGCTTACCTTCCCATAAACAAAGCAGTACAGGGTAATTCCCATGGCCCATACATCAAGTGCCTGAAAGAAAGCATGTACAGGCAGTAAATGAGATGCAACACAGATGATCTGAATGAGCTGGATTTTCCCACCGACTCACAGAACATTATTTGTATGCATTTAATATTTTCTATTTTATTGTGCAGAGTCTCTCTGAAGTTGGGCTCCTAAAGGCGTCTGTAGCATGCCTGGGGAATGAGGACTGTGCTGGGCCAGACGCTGCCACCCTTGTCCTTGCTGTCGAGCGCAGTGACCAGCAAGTAGCCCCTTCTTACAGGAGATGACACCATTCAAGGCTGAATATCAAAGAGGAGCTGAACCTCAAAAGTCTTCTTCCAGGCAAAAAAAAAAAGAGCTGAACCTCAAAAGTCTTCTTCCAGGCGAAAAAAACCCCCACTAGACCTTATCCCCACATCTGCACCACAGCGCTTAGCAGTGCCCCTCGCTTTCAGGGGATCAAGACATGACCCTGGTGTCCAGCAGCCCCCTGTGTCTCTTGATTATTTTGGAAGGGAATCGGGAGTTTCCTCCTTTCCCTTTGGGCAGGGAAAGGGCTCTAACATGGCTCCTGTCTGGGCAGGGATCCACAGCAAAGACTGTCTGCCCGCTGCACAGAACAACCAATGTAAGTTTTGCCAGGACTGAACACAGAATTAGAGCTTCTGTTTTACTCAATAGCCACCCCAATCCCTGAGTGGGCAACACACAAAGGATGCAGGCGTGGTGCTGCCCTTTGTGCCATGCCTGGGGGTCCCAGGAGACATCAGCTGTGAGCAAAGACCTACCTTTCCACTGAAACTTTTGCCAGTGTCTGAAATGGCCTCTGGTGCCATGAAGGCTGGTGTCCCTGCCGTGCTGGAAAGCTGGGCATCGTTCCCTTCAAATTGATTGCTGACTCCAAAATCAGCGATTTTGACGTGCCCATCATCTCCTAAGAGTAAGTTGGAAGGCTTGATGTCCCGGTGAATGATCTTCTGGTAGTGCACTAAAAAAAACAACAAACCAGGAGCATGGTCTGTCACAGCAGCCAACACACCCAGGGCAGCCTTTCCAGGAGGATGAAAATAAAGGTGCAAGCTCAGGCACCCCACTCAAAGCTGCTGCTGGCTATGCAATATAATGTAGTAGAAGTGCCATTTCCTATAGCCATTCCTTTTCGGTGCCTCACTGGGACGTACACCGGAGTACAACACTCAAATACCTTTGTCACCAGTAATTATGCAAAGAACAGACATGAACCCAGAAACAGCCCAACCAGCAGGACTGAACAGAGCTGTTAAAGAAGGAAATCACTCAAGTCTTGCAGATTTGCTTGACCTCATCAGACCAGCTGATGGATTGGGCAACTCGCTGTATTAAAGGTTTAGGGGATTCAAATAAAGAGGTTAATTTTTAATTTATTTTGAAACTGCAGTGCCATAAAGCTAATCAAAAGTGGCAGAACCACAGGCAGAATGAAACAAGCCCAGAGGAGATACTTAGGCAAAATAAGACAACTAGCAGCTGAGCACCAAGTCCAGCCAACAGCTCAGAAATCAGTGGGTATTTCCAACTCAAAAGATAACTCTGACCAGGGAGCAATCACCAGCTGGTTGGTGCCAGCGCTCACGAAAAAGCACTCTCTCTCTAGCTATGCTTTGCAATGGAGCCCAGAGAAAACGTCCTCAACTTGTTCTGCGTCACCCCAAATCCCCAAAGCTGCCAGCCACTCGGACCACTTTCACACCCAGAGCTGTGGCCAAACCTCTGCCACGCAGTCCTTCAGAGTAAAGGGTGTTCCTACATGTTGCCCTTCGCTCCACGAGGCTGCAGCAAAGACTCCAGCTCTGTCCCGGCTCCACAAGGCCAACTGTGGGCACCAGCTGAAGTGCTTGTACATCCAAAATGAAAGAAACCATTGCAAAGAGCTTGGAGGCTGAGATGCACTGAAAACAAACAAAAAATCCCTCTCGTTACAAGCCATCTGGGAAGCAATATTGCAGTTGCAAGAAAGCCATTTCTGTGCCACTGAGTGAAGCAGCAGCAGGGAGTTGTAGGAAAGTGGCTGACTTCTCAGGAACTTGGAGAACAAATTTAAAAATCAAAAAAACAAGTCTCAGAACGCGAAATGACCCCAAAAGCAGGACTGCAGAAAACCCAAGAGACTTTACTGAACAGGAGAGGAAATCCTTTAAGTCTTTACTGCCCTTTCCAGGGGAACAGGACCCCTTGTCCTCCCTCCTCCCCCAGCCAAAACCACCATTTTCACATTTCCTTCTTGCAAATGGAGCATGTTTGTTTTTATACCTCCCCGTGAGCACTTTTCATATCTCCTAGGAAATATGCAATTGGCTGGGGGAAAATGCTGGTCTAACACTTTCCCGCTTTACAAACCTGGTCAACACATTGCCACAAAGGCAGCCTGCCCTACAGAGCATCCCAGCTTGTGTTTTATGGCCAAGAAAGACCAAACTTCACATAACTCTTCTGCTCTTTTCAAGCCAACTTTCCAGCAGGCCGTGTCTGGGAAGGGGAAGTCACACTTGCAGATACTTTTTCCGCAAGGACCTCTCCTTAGTTTAAAGCACTACTGGGGGATGCTGTCCTTGGCACATTAAAGAGCTGATCTGGAGACCCAGCAAAAACAAGCTCGTGGGAGAGCACTGGCACTTACATCCTCTTCCAGATGTGCCGCAACTGCGTGGCCACACTGTGATGTGAGCCAGTTAACGCTGTAACAGCCCGGCTAGACAGTCAGGATAAACACGGAAAACCCCACAACAACAGTAATTACTAGGAGACATCTGCTCCGCAGCAAAGCTAGTGGCAAGCTGACATTTCATTATGGTAATATAGGGAGAGAGGAAAAAAAAAAGTGAGGGAGGGAGTGAAGTTTCCCTTCAGGAGATGATGAGCTGCCTTTCATGCAGGTGTCTGGTATCGCGTCTGATACCACAGGGCTAAGATTCCCAATGCCTCTAAAAAAAATACAGGCCACAAATATACGTGGGCCATACAAGTACATCCCTGGAGCTAAGTCTGTGAAAATTGAGGGAGTTAACACTAGGCAAGCAGGTACTTTAGGGTTTTTATTATTTCTTCCATACAGGAAAGTAAAAAAAACAAAACCACAAACCAATTCCTATATCAAATAACTATTTATCTTGTAAAACACATTCCCTGCCTTTGCGTAATCTAATAAAAGTAGAGGAAAAACGTGGGCCATTTGCCAGATGCTCTGTTTGTTCAGTGCCCATCTCAGCCTGGTACCCAGCAGGTCTGGGCACTGCTGGCTGTTAGGCACAGGAGGAATATGAATGTTGAACAAAGAAATAAGAAACACGTCCTTTGCAAAAATCAAAGCCATCAAACACTAGGGTCAATGAGCATTTGCGCCTCCCAGACGAGAACATCCATGTGCTTGACGTGAGTGTTAGGGACAGTGAGAGTCTCAGACCTCAACTGCTCAGAGGAGAAAATTAGCACAAGTGCCTGCAGGGCAGAGGAGCACAGGCTGTGCTTTCAGAAGTGAGCCTGACACATCCCAGGGCTTTACGACGCAGTGTGAGCCAGGCACTTCTGCGAACCTGGCACAGTTTAAATAACAGACTGGGATGGGAAGGAGATGGGCACAGAGGGGAAGTGGCTGGCCAGGTCAGGAGTGGCAGTGCTGGGAGCAGTGTCCAACCCACACGCCGTGCTGCCTTGCCATGCTGTTTGGGTGGCAGTAATGAAAGTCTTGCGCCAGTTGGCTTGAAAGACTTACGCTCTCTGCAGATCCTCTCCCCTCTCTAGCTGCCTTGTGCAGAGGCAATAGCCATGAAGGGAGAAGGATAGGGGACATGAATTCTGCACCGAGCACCATCTGGTGTAGATGAACAAGGCTCCATCACAGCTACAAAAATTGTAAAAGCAAGAGCTCACATCTGCCAAGAAATGATTTGGTGTGGAACTGTTAACCTGATGAAGGCAACCTGAAATCCCTTTTCTGCTCTGAAGAAGCACAATTCTTAAAGTCCCAGTCTGTCAGCTGCTGTGAGCATCCTCCTCTGCACAGCTATCCAAAACGGGCTTCAGGCATCAAAATCCCCTCCTGTGCTGTGCCTTGCCACGGGTACAGTTCAGTACAATACAGGGCTGTAGAACGAAGAGTAAAAGATTCCCCAAAAATCATTCAAGTCCACTTGTAGGCAATAGAAAAAACCTGGCTTGTTTGAGAGCTACAGAAAGGAAGCAGGACTGCTCATCTGCAGGATATCAACACCACTAAGAGCAGAAAAACTTGCCAACCCACCAACTTCCGCTGCAAGTCCAGATCTCTTGCAGATAGTGCATTGCGGGGAGAAGGGCAGGGAACAATTAATTCAGCAGGGCTGGCCAAAGGCTGACCGGCCAAGTGGTGGGACGTGCCTGCAGCGACACAAGCATCACTGCCACACACAGTGAAAGCAGCCCAGGGACAGCTGTCTTGCAGGAAAGGTACTCGTTAAACCAGTGCGATCTGCATTTCCAGCACAACACGCAGAGGAAAAGATGGTGTTATCCCCACAGAACTCCAGAGGGAGAGCTAAGCATCTCAGAAATAAAAGCTTACCACTAATGATACCCTCCAGACTCCTAATGACTATGCAGAAGGGACAACCACACAACCCATGGAGCCACCCAAGGGGAGCAGGTGACAGCCACAGTCAGTTAAACACAATTACCAGCACAAATTAACCCTCTAATTTCACCAGCCTGAAGCATCTGGGAGCAAGTTCCTTCCCTCTGCAGACATAAGAGCAGCAGGTAGGAAAGGCAGCTTCGTTAGAATTGCTATTGAATGTCACTGGAAGCCAGGACCAGAGGTCCCAGCAACAAAACACTTGTCCCATCCTTGGGACACAGCTGCTAGCAAACAGGAGCAGGGCTCCATCAGGCACAGCAGAGAAGGAAAAGCACCTTCAACATAAATAAAGCCCCAAACGCGCATTAAAGGAACATAACCAAAATATCTGTGTCACCACACCTAAGCTTGCTTCACGAGGGTTTGGGGATTTTCTTTTAAGCCAACCCATGACCTCCCCTTAGTTCTTTCCATGGGGAAGTGGGAACCACTAGGCTGAGTCCATGCCTTCCAGAGGGAACTTTCAGCTACTCTGTGTCCTGCTCAAAGAGACTGGCCACAACGACACATTGGGTTTTTTTGCTTCTGACATTACAGAAACAGTCACAAAGCAGGCAGATGTCAGCCCCAGCAAGACTGCCCTGAGATCCACGCCGTCCAGCCATGGAGCCACAGGGACGTGGGTGCTGGATGCACACAGCCTTAGTAAAGACCATCCAATCGGTGCTCCCCTCCCAGGCCCCATGTGCTACACAAGGTGGACATCAGCAGCCAAAAAACAGTCATTCCCATGCAAATGTACCTGTCTGCATCCCTCCCAAGGTTAAAATCGATGCTGAGCCAGCCAAACCAGAGCACTTTACTGAAGCTGCTTTGACAAACTGACAAAATGGTTCCACCTGTTGCTTTTCCCTGGAAAGGATTTTGCTCTAAAAGCAGAGGTAAGCAGCTCACTGGAACAACTTCCCTGGGCTCCAAGATGCTCTGCACTTTCTGTGCTGACAGACCCGAATCAAAGAATAGATCAATACCTCTTCATAATGAAAATGAAACAATGTAAGATATTACAGAGCCCTTAGGAGAAAGTCTGATTGTGCAGCGCTCCATTAAATTCCGGTTTATTAGACCCATCCTTCACTTCAGTGGAAAGGTAACAGTATTTCAGGCTTATTTGCATCTGAATAACAATCCCATGAATTTCTAGAGCATCGTCTAGGCAAAGATCCCAAAGCATGTTAGAAATACTTGTTTGCTAAACCTCACAGCCACCTCATGAACGAAGCAGGTATGACAGGTGAGGGCGCATGTACTACATTTCCAGCACAACTTGTGTCAGAAAGCCTGACCTGGCACATCCGAAGTTGGACTTAGTCAAACCCTAGAGCCCCGGGGTGCTCAGA